CAGGCTGTTTCCCTGCTGGGAGAAAACTCACTGTAACATGAGGATAAGGCTAATAGCAGCTACTATGAAGAAAGAAAAAACATGTCCCTTTTAACTGTTTTAAACCCTCAAGCAATTGGATATCACTGGTCAGGGTTTAGAGGAGATGGCTTCACATACCTGATAAGAAAAGAGGAGACACAAATCTGTTGCCAAAGGCCACAAAAAAGATTTGAAGACTTAAGGTGGTCAGCAGAAGAACAAATATCACCCCATCAGGTAGAGGGATGAATTAGCCTTGTGGTTACTAAACTCATGATAACAAATCTGCTTAAAGACTTGCTTCCTCATTGGGAAAATAACCTTTGAATGGATCTCTGGAGCAAGAGAAAGAGATCAAGGAAAATGTGTCAATTTGGGATAATAAAGGAAGCAGAAGGGCCATAAATAGAGTAGATATGCATTCCTAGGCAGCAGCCACTTTTTCTTTTTTTTTTTTTTTTAAGCAATTGACAGTGGCCCTCAAGGTGTTGTTACACGTGATGGGTTCTACTATTTGTTGAAGCAGTTTTCACACTTGATATGGTGTTTCCTTTTATTGCCATTTGCATAGTATATGACCCTTTTTTGCTTTTGTGTATGTGAAGCAATCTCGTGATAGAAATGTGAATGCGTGGGGGGAAATTATCCATGCTCCATCTGTTTTAGTGAGTTCAGGTTCTAAATACATATTTTTATGAATACATTTTTACAAATGGGATACCAAGACTAATCTTAAATTTTGATTTTGCAGTTATTTCCTTTTTCTAGTGCAACAAAAAAAACCTGAAGTCCAGAAACTGAGAAAGCATCAGGGCTGAAATTTTTGCAGCTTCAGTTAGAAACATTCTCTCATAGAAACTGGCATTCATAGCTCAGAAACAACATTTCTGTGTTCAGCATGAGTTAGGCAGTCTGGCATGGTGGACCTTCTTTTGCACTTTCTGGATGCAAAAGTGGTAGTTGTTGTTTGCATGTGTGATATTGTGATTATTTTAATACATTACAGCACCAAAAATAGTGTCCTGAAAGTTTCCATAATGAGAAAGAGTGAACAACAAAAATTACTGAAAAGATATTTGATGCAGATGAAAACAGATACTAAGCATGATACCTAATGCACTTATTTAGCACTGAAGAGGTGACAGAGCTCATGCCTATATGTGGTATCATTTTAGATGAAAACAAAGCTTGTAATTATCTTCCCTATAGATTTCGATGCTTTAGTAAGGCTTGCGTGCTTAAGTAATGTATGCATGGTCCGCTAGTTTAATTTTTATAAACTTTATTGATTCAAATGTTGACTTTACTACCACAACATTTATGTCCCCGTCTAATCAGGCTACATGTTTATTATTTCAGTTCTGCATGTTTTAGTAATTGGATTGTGTACCTTAATGGCACAATAAGGTTTTGCATAGTTTACTAAGGAAAAATCTGACTTGACACTGTTTCTCCTATTTTAGTGAAACATTCTTTATTTTTCTGGGCCAATATGAGCTTTTCTGAAATTACTGTACAGCAAAAGTGTATGATCAAGTTGAAGGGAATGAAATGAGACTAAATCCATTAGCTCTTTCATCCCAGCATTATCCCCCTTATCACTTGGGACTTTCCTCTGAAGCTGCCTTAGCCTGATGGAGCTTTCCAGTTTCATGGAAGTGGACCAATTTCTATATTATACTCATGGCCTGATGCTTGAAGATGAAAATGGCTGAGCTCAAAACTTTCAACAAATATTCAGATTTCTCTCCTCCTTCCACATCGTTATCGTAGATATAGTCCACAAAAATCATTCGTTCTTTCTTAACTTCAACTTCACTTTCCAGCTAAGATTTTCAAACAGGATTTGTGATTTGGGGTGCCAAACTGAACATCTCCAGTGAAAGTTAGATGTGTATCCAATTGGACATATTAGAAATGAGACTTCCCAACTTGCTAGTCAGTCTTGAAAACCTTAGCCTTCAGCTTTAGCAAAGTCTAAGGTCTGCTGGTCTTCTCTTCTGTCCTTATGACAAATCTTTTATCCGTTGTTTACTCTTCCATAATAGGACTTGTATAGAAATATGCAGTATAAATATTGCATAGAGTTGTTTTTCATCTCCGAATGTTTTTTAAAGCTTAGTAATTAAAAAAAATTAGTCACCTAAGTCTGACTTTTATCACAATATCAAAAGACTTTCTTTAGATTTGTCCTCAAAATATGCATGTTGATTCAGAAATTTATTCTTGCAGATGCACTCCATGACAGACAGACACTCCATGACAGACAGACAGCCTTTGTGAGTTGCTAGTATTACTGGATGAACAATGCGTTTTTGGGAAGAGAGATAATCCAGGTATCATTTGAAATCTCTACTTTTCTTGTTCATGTTTTATACTACCAGAGGGGCTGTTCAGCTTATTTTTAAAATAGATGATATGATCAATACCTGTATTAATGTAATTTGTTGATTAAACTTTACGTAGTAATAGCTTGACTTTTATGTTTCAGTGGTATTATGTTTTAAGCAAGTTTCGTTATGCATTTTTTTTAAACAACACTATAGCTAAAAATAGGTATGACAGGTTGATCATGTTTTGGCAAGAAGAAAGTGTAGGTTGGGTGGCAAGTATTTTTTTTCTCTGCCACTCTTCTCCCTTTCGCCCACCACTTCTTAAACTTTGCAATGTAGGCATGTTGCATCTCGTAAGTTAGGCTAGATTTGTGGCTGTTGGGGACTTGAGCGTGAGGGCTGTATGGAATGTGTCAGTGCTGCTGTAAGAGGTGTCCATGATTTAGTAGGTGGCAATCTCTCTTTAGAGTCAGAATTGAACTGCCGACCCAGTCTAGTGTTTAAGAGACTGTGCTGATGGAGCTACTGTGTTCTGGATGAAACTTAAACCCCAGGTCCTGTCCATTTGTGGTCATTAAAAATTTCTGGCATACAGCCTCTCCTAAACTGCTATATGGTATTGCATTAAGTGTTGTATTTCAGGAGTGGATTAAGAGATCCTTTTGTATGGTTTCTAAAGCACTTTAGGATCTTTTGGGATGAAAAAATACTATATAAATGTAAGTTACTATAATAATAAAATGAAAACACTCTCTTCTTCACCTTTCAAACAGGAGTACATCACCTTTAAAAAGAACAAAACCAGCTTGAGATTTCTTTAGTGTGTAAACTCAGAAGATGGTGACCAGATGTGAGTCAAGATCAGCTTTAAATCAGGGTTTAGGTTTCCAGTTAAAGGCTGAACCTTGGCTGGGTTTCAGATTCTGGTTTAGTGACAGGAAAATCTCATGAGGGTCTCCAGCAAGATTTCATCCCAACATTGTGAAAATTTCATGAGATCACCTGTTCTCATGAAATTGTCATATTGGCCCTCACCTTCACAGAGGACCCTTCTCCCCAGCTTATGAAAGATAAGGGCCTGGAGGGACTGGGTTTAACTCTTTGAATATGAGTTAGCTCTAAAACCTGGATGGCAGGGGTTCATGTCTGGTAGTCTCACTGGGGCCTTGTTCTAATACTAGACATAGAAATAGATTTGGATGAAGAAAGAGAAGAAAGTGCTATAGAAAATCCTGTAGCTCTACTGCTACATATTTAACATAAATCTACAAGTCTTTGCTGGACATTTTTAAGTGCCACTTGGTAAGCCAAACTGTGTAGGTACTTAGCACTTAGGCTTAGATCTAAACTATCCACGCATCATTTAAGAATATTCGCAGCACTTTGGGAACCCAGTGAAACACATGCCTTCAATCCATCGCTTTCTAACTCTGTAATAATCCATTTTGCTGAATACTTGACTTATCTTTGCACAAGTCAGCACATTTCTGTCACACGGGCTGGCAGTACTTGTCTGGGCAATATAGGAGTAGATTGACATTGTCTGTAATCATGGCATGAAACAATCTGCAGGCTTCAATGCTATCTTTGCCTCATCTCCTCCATTTACTGTAGAGTCTGTGGCAGAGGAATTAAAGTGTTTGGACAGAAGGGAAGTACATGCTAAGTGCCAACTGTAAAAGAGACTCCCTCTAGGATGGCATAGTTGAGAAAAATTTCCCTCCAGAAGTTAAAGAGCATGTGGTAGAAAAAGCTAATGTGGGGATAACTGAAACAGCTGTACTGTAGTCTGCAAATGTTGGCAGAGATATTTAGCTGTTTGAAAACACAGCTGACTAGTAAATCATGAGGTACAGGGAGGAGCTCAGGTGAAAATACTCTGCAGCAAAATAATGTGCTATGAAATCAGAAAGCTCATGCAAATAAAAGATCTTAGAGTCAATTCTGCCATCGATTGTACTCACTTAGGTAGGGCTGGCTGGAACACAGTAATTCTTCCTTGGGAAAAAATTCCTTATGTTTGACATTGCTTTTGTCTTGCATTGGAGTGAGGCCTCAAGCTCAACACATTTTAAATGAAAGAAAAAATTCAGCTCAGAAAATCCAGCAGTTCAGTAGCTAGGCAAGTTTGTTAAATGTGGGGGTTCAGGAACGTGAACCTGTGTGTTCACTAATTATTCTGTTCCCTCTGACCAGCTACTCCATTTTGGATCCCCAAAATCTCTCTAATATTTTTTAAATGACATCTACTCACAAAATGGTCTGATGGACAGATCTGCATTTTTCCATTAAAAGTGGTTTTAAAAGTTCTTTACGTGATCTTACTTTTTTCATCAGTAGGTGAATAGGTGTAAAGGAATGTTACTATTTGAACAGTAGGACAATATTGTATAGGAGAAACTGGTGATAATAGGTCAAAAATTGTATAGCTGTTATAGTTGGTAGGTGCAACCTGTGGTTCATGACAAAATCATGAACCAACTGGAGAAAATAAAATCTTCCTAATTGATTCATCAGACTTGATAAAGTGTTCGAAAATTTCAGTTTCTGTTAAAGCTACAGCTTTCAACATTTTGATCTATATGTAACGTACATGAGCTTGGAATATTTGCATGACTTTTTCTGTGTCTCTGGAGCTAGTGGGAATATTTGGACTGAGAACATCACAGGACTGGGACCAGGAACATCAAAATGTATGCATGTACTTAAAGTTGTTCCAGCAAAGGAAACCCACTTTCATTGAAGTGCTGTAAGTTGATCTAAGTGAGTTTTCTGATGTAATGAACTTTATCACTTTGATCCCCATGAAGAAAGCATCTGAGTCAGATATAGTCAGAAAAACATGTAAATCTAACGTTGCAATAGGAACATTTGTTTAAAATGAGTAACACATCTTGATAGATTTTTTAATAGCTAAAATAAAGTTTAGGCAGTCCTGAAAGCTTGTTGAAAAATGAATGGATAAAACATGTTTTAGCTCAAGAGTCAGCTATTCAGTCAGATTTCTTCTTTCTTTTTGGTTCAATATAATAAAAAGTTAAATCCTCTGAAGAGTCGTTGTACCAGACTGACTGGGTCTGTTATGGTAGAGCACGTGCCTAGCATAAAGGACCAGTTTCATACAGCTGATTTTCATGGCAGTAGAAGCTCTGAAGCAAAGAAACAGATGCTTGTTGTATTCTGCTAGTGCAGCCAATGGCTATTTCATAGCTATTTGGAAGTCTGCAATTGAACAGAAAGATGAGAGTGTGTGTTCTACTGGTGCACAGAGTTCTTTCCTACAAGGGTTTATGCAAACAATTGAAAATATGTATTATGGAATAAAGCTTACGCTTCTTTTTCCCATCTCTGCCTCCTATGAATATATTAAAACCAAGTCTCTGGCAACTGCTGATTTTGATAACAAAATTGGACAGTCAGTAATATGTTTAGCATATTTATTTAAGAATATTTAAGTGTCTATCAGGTTATCATAGTTTTTGGTAAAAAATACAAAATTCAAAGTTTAATTACGTGGTTCTCAGTGAGAGGCATCTGCAGCCAGTTCTCCCTCAAGTTATCAGCTGATATATTATCAATTAGCCAACAGATTGACCAAACACATCTATATTATGTTTTGTCTAAAGACTGCTGAATCACATTGCCAGGTACTCTGAAACAGTGATGACTAAGTGTATTAGAAGAAGGGGCAGGATGGAGGTCAAGCAAACACAGAGAAAGCTCTGCTCCCTCTTGTGCAAAAGACCATTTTTTAAACTGTTTTCTACACAGCTGTGTTTATAATCTTTTCTGTATGACTTGTGTTTAATTTCCCATGAACAGGTTTTCTTCCAGTAATACCATCAGAATGCTTCAATCTCAGTTCTTACACAGTGGCAATTTAGAGAAACCTAATATGTAACCACATTTTAGAGGGTAAAGAATTAAGGCATGATGGTTTTTTGAATCATCTGTGTTAATCATTTGTGAAATCATTCAGTGAACTGTGTTAGTTCAGTAGCTCACATTTAATAACTATGAGACTTGAATAGAAACTGGCTAAAAGAAAATGTAATACCTTGATTTACAAACACTAATTTTTTCAAGAAGCTGTGAGGGAAACATAGGTAACAAAATTTCCAGTGATTGTTTTGGCTCAATGGTATATAAACCTTGATTCATGTCATAATTTATGATTTCTTATAGGGAGCATGATACTGGCATAGCAAGAAACAGCAGCTGAGGTGAGTGGCTGACCAACAAACCCATTTAAGATGATGATAAGCACACCAATGATGAGAGGGTGTGAAGGGGTGAGACTTCCCCACATCTTAACTCCAGAAGCATTGATTAATGAATTCACTGTAAGCCCCTTGCTTTTGCAAAAGCTTTGGAGGAGATGAAGTGTGAATAGATGCATAACAGAAGAAGGCAGTGAAACAAGATAGTAAAGAGACTAATCCTTCAGCTGAGATGGGAGGGCATTGTGGAAGAACTAATTTCAGTCAAAAATATTAAGAATAATAGAAATAATTTCTGTACATGTAAAGAGAACACTAGTTTTAAGTCTAAAGGGATAGTTTCTAATAATAATTCAGGCAGAAAACTAACAGAAAGCATCCTGAATTTCTTTTTTTTTTTTTTAATGACATAAAATTGAAATCAGGAATGTATATGGTTAAGAAGCTGATGAAATGTTAACTTCCATAATCTGAGTTTACTTTTTGATCCAAAGAGAAAACAAAATTCAGAAAAATAAGTTTTATTAATCTCTCTCTCTCCTGTATATGGTATGCAATTTAGTTATGGTCTCATCCTTCTGTTTTTCCCTGAATTCAGATTTTTCAAGTCCTTAGTGAGCACCAGAACCACTGTACCTTCTTCAGATAGAAGCAGGGTCAGACATAGGAAGGATTAAGTCCCCAGTTGAAGGGAGACATGTGGAGACATCAGTTGGTTCACAAAGCCCTTTTGTGTAGAACCTGTCTTCCCTCATGTTTGTTAAATTCCTCTGTAAAATCTTACCTGGATAGTGCCTCTCGGACAGCGCATGTATGTGTGTGCACGGGCATGCCTGTGGGGCTGGGTGGTGGTGGGGAGTGAGCCTCATTTGCAAATTTCATCAAGCTGAGCATGGATCCCATCTCTTACTTACATTACTTTCCTGACTTGACTGACAAGAATAGAGCATTGATCTGGTTGAAGTCTTTCAGAGCAAAGACAAGCTTCCTGGGTCACCACAGCTGATGTGGTAGAGGACAGATGCAGATGCTGAAAGTTAGGCATCTGGGGGCAGCTTGCTATTAAAAATTTAAATGCTTATAGGGTAAGAAGGGAGTCTCAAGGGTTGTATCTTTGGATTTGAAGGCCCATTTGAGGGCCCATTTGAAGGCCCTTTGGATTTTTCTGCCACGTCCTTTATGAGTCCGTAAAAGGACACACAGCTCCTTTTGCTATGTCTATCCCAACAAGCAGAACAGGGCCGCAGCACGGGCCAGCAGTTGTCCGTGCTTTTTAATTGTTAGCATGCTCCCAGCTGCAGCTCTGGCTGTGCTGATTACCGCTGGGAAGAGCATGTGCAAGGGACCATTCCCAGCAGGCAATTTTGACTCACATACCCTGGTTTTGAGGGGGTGGGGAAGGAAAAAAGAGAATATGGTATGTAGAGCTGAGACATGCTGTGCTGCATGGCCTCAGGGCCAGAGAATGGTCCCTGGTTGTTTTACTTAGTAGACATTTCCTGTGTGTCTTAATTCTCCATCTGTTGAAGAGCAATAGCAGCGTTTCCCTACTTTGTAAAAATAAGTGCCTTCTTTACTGTGCTACAGGAATAGGTGCTATTTAAAGTATTCACAAGACGTAAATAATATTTTTGCAGACCACTGGGAGAGTGCATACATGGAGAGAAATGTCTATCCTGCAGTCAGTATTTTGACTTAGGTTTCAATTTGCAGTTATCTCATAATCTGTAGTTGTTTACTGTTTCAGTTTGGCCTGCATTTTTGCAAAGTTCAAACTTAAAACTGAACTGGAGTGGAAAGGGAGAAAGGTTCAACTTCATTGTTCTGCCATTGGGTTGCTTCCTTTCTGGGCAGTGTAAAAAAAGTCAGCTGTCTTATTTTTCTTTTCCATGGCCAGGGCCAAAAAATGCAGGAAAATTAGCCAAGAGTAGGAAAAAATGGAGCTTTGCTATAGCTCCAGGGATCCAGGATGCTTGCCTTTCTCATCAGAGAGAGAGCAACTAGACTGATATTCTATTTTCCATCAATCAAGTCAGCAAAGCCAGGCAGAGCACTTCCTTTGACATCAATGCAGTGGTGACAGTTGTAGAGTTAATGCATTCCTTTTTAATGGAATACCATAAATCTAGGTTCAATGCTGCCAAAATAATGGCTGCAGTTCCTACTGCAGAAGTCAGCTCTCTCCTTGCTTTCCCATGGGCTTAAAACAGTTTGATTATAGAACTCATAGGAATTATTTACTGTTATTAATAAGGATCTTTAGACACTCTACAAGGATAGTTTACCTGTGTGAAGTGATGCTATTGCCTCTTGGGTGAACACACTACAGCCTTTTAAGAAATGCACTGTATTTAAACAGCTTCAGAAGAATGATTTTTCCTGTTTGAACTTGTAAGATAAATTCAGGGAGGCACAATTTATATTTTTCTAGGAAGATATCTGAAGTATGTCAGAGACTCCCTAGAACACCCGCAGCCTCCTAAGATTTAGTGTCTTATTTGTAAGGAAATATCTAAGGCAAAATTCAAAGGTAGGATACAGTAGGATACAGTGCTGATATGGGAGGAAAAAATTTCATTGATTCATTCACTAGCTGTATTATATTTGGGCAGCAAAGAAAAACCCAGGTATACCAGGATAATCAGCAAGTCATCAGATGAGATTTAGAGACACTTAGGAGGTACAAAGTGGAGTTGGAAAACTTCTTTGCAGTCTTCGAGAGCTCTTTTGTGGATGTGATATACCGTGGTCCATGGGTGGAGGATACCTGAGGGTGGAGAAACAACGAGAGGCAAAGTCTGTGATGCAAGAAAAAGACCCAACACCATCGGGCACGATGGCAACTACGGTGCATTTTCCTCACTGTATCTAGATCTTCCTCCCCCTCTCCCACAAGAATTTACTTAATCCCCAGGAGGATATTACTTGGGATTGTCTAACTCACTAGAGTTAAACAGCTGTATAGCACTTTTCAGGCTCAAGGCCTTACCTCTAACTTACTGCCTTATTTCACTCTGCAAGATCATAAAGCACTTTTCACATCACAAGCCAGCACTGCTCTGGCACAACAAAAACCAGTGCTGTACAAGGTCCATTTAGAGTAGGGTATAACTGAAGCAATGCTTTTAACTCCTCTTTGCGTGGGAATCTGGAGACAGATGGTTGTTGCCCATAGGATAGGTGGTGTCAAAGAGGAGAGGTAGACTCTGAGCCTTGGATAACATGTGTTTCAATTCAGTGTGCTTCCAAAGTGCAAGAGCCCAGCTGTGTGTTTCAGAGTGCATGATATAGGGAAGCCCCGAGTGAGAGCAGCAGCATTGCTGCCTTCCCACCCATGTGCGAGGAGTTCACAGACTTACAGGTGGTCATGAGAGCAAAACCTAAATTTCACCCACCCTCTAAAGAGAATAAAAGTTATTACCCTTATTTTACTGTGTCTTATTACATTTGGTATTTGGCTTAAGAATCCTCAAGTCATCCTATGAAAATCTCAGCTTTTTTTTTTGTTTGTTTATAAGTAAATGTCTAGGTCTGCAAAGAAAATGTGCAGGGTGTAAATAAAACATAAGCAGAAGGTAGCCTAGGGGTTCCAAGCCCTGAAGGTAGATAAGAAGAACCTGAAATATGTTGATTTAATTTTTGGAAAGGATTTATTTTTTATTAAATCAGCACTTGATTTTTAGTGGGAAATAAAGGCTTGATCTTGGCACATGAATATTCAACTTGCGTTTAGTTCATAAATAAGGCCAATAAGTTCATAAATAAGGCCAGTGAAGGTCAGGTTTGGAGAGAGATAGCAGGACCCACATGGCTCAAACCATAAGAAAGAAAAGGAGGAAGAGTGACATTGGCTCCAATTGCAAACACTTTGATTTGGCTGCAGGTAGGGTGGCCTGTGGACCAGATTTATGAAGACATGTCAGCAAAAAAGCATCGCACAGGAGGTTGCTCGAAATAGTGTCCTGATGTGAGTGTGTGGCTTCTGGGCCAGACCGACTTGTATCAGTGCAGCTAAGCATGGGCTCATCCAGACGGTCATGCTCTAAGCCTGATCCCAGGGCCATGCTCTGACAGAACCACAAAATAAACATGTGCACGTTTTCTGCTTTCTACAGCATGCCGGATATTAGTAAGCAGTTTTTTTAACTACTGCCCTTTTTTTACTTGCGGCTTGAAGGCCTTTCTGACCATAATTATGCCAATGACCTATTGTCACATCAGCTATTACAAACTGCATTTACTTGAACAAAAAAATTGATGGTGTTCTTTTTTATGGGACAGAAAAAAAAAAGAGTGGGCAAGCTTTCAAGAATCACAGTCAGAGTACAGTATGTCTGCATTTAATTATGGGGTTGGAGCAATTAACACTTGAGCTCTGCTTTGTTCTGTATTCCATGGCTGGTTGTTGAGAAAATACAATTCTCAAAAGCTTTCCATTTAAAATGTATTTAGCTTATTTTTAGTGAGTGTGGAGGGGTTTACGTACAACTGCTTGGGGCTGTGAAGGTTGGTTTAGGACTCAAGAGACCCTAGTTCAATTCAAAGTGTTCATTGTGACAGTGGAAAAGGCACTTGATTTGTACTGATGTCTCACTGTCCTCCCAGAATGTAATTTCTAGCTGTAAGGCAGGGACTCCATTAATTTTCAAATGCTTGTGATGAGGCCTACTGAAGCATCTCTGTCCATTCTCAGGTTTTATTCTTAATGTATTTGTCTAATATGATTTTTATTGTTTTTAGTCCCTGATAACCAGAGACCTTTTAACCAAAGCATTATACGATGTGTAATGTATGTAGCTTTGCCCCTCATTCATGAATGCTCTTAAACACCTAAGTCTGGCCTAATTCAAAACAATATTTCTTAAGCATGTACTTTAGGTTGAAACATATGCTTCAGACCCATTGAAGTAGAAAAAAAATTATGATACTAAAGACCTCGTTTTTTATTATTTCCCCTCACAACTTCACCTTGCAACACTTTCTTAATTGCTAAACAATTTTGG